TCCTGAAACAATAACTACAAGAGGCTTAACCTAAGAACTTGTAAGCACATAAATTCTTAATTAATTTTTAATCTTTCTCTATTTGGGTAGTATCTATGTCTAAGAACATAGCTTAGTTTTATAAGAAGATATGAGAATATGGTTTTATAAGAATAGAGAACAATAATTCAGACCTTGATTGAGCAGCTCATTGGCATTTAGGATAAATTCTTATCAGCTTCTAGTATCTTATTTTAAAAAGATGTGTAATTCTTGGAGGGTTTGAAAGGTGTTATATTGCTGGTCCATATTTAACTGTTGAATTGATAACTATGGACTTCTCTCACAGTTTATGTAAAAGACACTGCAATTCTATCTTTATTTCCTGCCCCAACATTTAATTATTTTATTACGGCAAGTGTGAACATGTTTTGTAATTTCTTTCACTTGCAAGCATGAACAGTGAGGAGCCTCTATCCACACCAGTCACTCCCGTGGTCTGGTCACAATATGCTACCACATGCCACCACAAGGATGACAAGTCACCTTTCATTCCGGTAAAGAGGCAAAGCTTCAGTCATAGTACTATCAGGTGGTGCTTCCTCCTGTAGGTGTCTAACCCCCACCCCCCATATCCCAGACTTCCACCCTCAGTTTCTTCAGTGGTCTCTCTTGGAAAAGTAATCTTAATACATTGCTTTTTCAGAAGGATATTAGTAATCTAAGCAGCATTCTGGAACCTTGGAGCACTCTATATCTCATAAGAGGTGCATGCCCCCAGTAGAGTCAGGGAAGATATATAGCTGAGGATACTGATTTTTCCAGAATTATTTTTCTGCCTCCCTCAGTAGCTGTGTTGCCTTCACCATATTCTCATTCTTATGTTCTTTAAACTGGGCTCTCAACAAACATGTAAAGCCCCAGTACTTGTCCCTGTAGATAGACCATGATTGGAGGTGGAGCAGCATGCAATGAAAAGTTGCAGTACCTTCTGCTGATGGATCAGGTCGGGGGGCAGAACACAGAAGACCACAAAGACTCACCTTCAGCAAGCTTCTATATTTAGTTCTCATATTTAACCTAAATATCTTGTGTACTGCAAAACCTACAAGTGGTTGATTTTGAACTTTCTTTTTCTTGAAAATCAGTCAGAGGAATTTGACCCATAATTTGCCTGATGAAGAACTGCTTTCTTCTTGTTCTAGTGAGATATTAATAGTTCCATTTGTATCACCATTGTCTGGTCCCAATATTATCTATTGCAAATGAAGTTCTGAAGTTTAAAATGAAAAGACTTTCTGCTAAATATATGGTCAGTTTATAAGGAGCAAGGGAGTTAGGTTGGACATTTTTGTATCTATCTGGTCAGTTGAACTTCACTATTATCGTTAGATTTTTCTGTGCAATTTCTTTTGGGTTTATTAGAGATAATTTTGTCAGTAGTTCTCTAGGTGCTAGAGTTACTGAGATGAGTAAGCAACAGTTAGCAACCTTAGGGGATGTGTAGACTAGTGAGAAGAAAGAGGTGTGTAAGTAATTTAATGTATGACTACTCAGAGACTGAAATCTTCCCTGCCATGCCCAGTGGAGTGGGATTAAGGAATAACAAATGTGCAGACCACAGTATCAGTACTAATTTATTGCCTTAGCACTTGCTTCCGTTCATTGCATTTCCCTCATCAGGTTGTTCCTTTGTTTAATGGACTCTTTATTATTTATTTTATTGTCATTTGCTGAATTGAAGGATCTAATACATTATTCAAGTATTTCTCTCTCATTACCATTTTCGAAACAGTAATTCATCTCTCCTCTTTTACTCTAAAAAAATAGCTGTAATAAATGCAGTGGAATTTTTTCAGATGTGGAGGAAACCCTGAAACAATGTTCGGATGCAAACCTGTTTCTCGAATGATCCTACTGTCCAATAGCCAGAGGCAAACACTGAGGGTTCTATTGTAGAAGCTCGTGTGCTGCTTGCAATTATGTGAAATTTATATCTAACACTAATTGAAGTCAAAATACAAATGGGGACCCATAAATGACAAGCTTGAAACAGTAAACTAGTATTTCAATTGGTAGCAAAAAGTGATTATTTGATTAAATTCATAGTGTCTTAATATTTTTTCAGTTCCGCTAAATCAAGCTTTTCCATGCCTATGGATTCAAGAGGTTGAAATATTTGGCTCGAGCAATCCATGACAATTTATTTGTCTTAGCATGTTTTGGGATATTTAGAATAGTGACTTGTTTGATAATTTCCTATTAAAGCACAGTAAAAGAATTATGTTGACATTTTAATGTGGGACAATACTTTTGTTACAATTCAAATTTTAACCCCTCCCAATGTTTTATGGTACTGGATAGATTAAATACAGGGGCTATACATACCAGGCCATAATTTTATGGTGTAAAATTAATTATCAATTCCAGGACTATTATAATATTTGAATGACATTCTGATCATTAATTTTTTATTTAAAATTATATCCTTTGATGCAAATATATGCATATAAAATTATCAAATAAAGGCTAATAACAAGGTAGAAAATTAATTGGAAATTTTTCATTGGGTTATATTGGTTGGGATAATACGGAGGAAAATACTTGCTATCACTTGGGAACTTTTCAGTGACTGTCAGGAATATGTATCTCATTATATTATTTTTGTTATTTCTACAATTGTTTAGAATTCTCTTTAGTATAGTGTTAGTTTCTTTTCTTTGGCAGAAATCTAAAAGGAGGCAGAACACGTACCTTTGTTGGAAATCTGCCTGTATTTAATGTGTATTTACTTGTGTGAGTTTGGGTATGGAGTTCTTCTGTTATATATTCATGGTCTCAGGGTTGAGTCTCCTCTTTAAACATGAAAACAGTTCTCTTGAAAACAGGAGTGCTGTGTCCAAGCAGATGTCAGAGCTGATCATCTCAGCATGTGTCCTTAGTAGCTCTGAGGCTGCTCCTGTTGCTGAGTGGACACACATTGGCAGAGTTGTTGAAAAGGCATTTGGTTTTGTGCTATTGGCTTTTCCTGACATGCAGTTCATGTAAGAGGTTGTGATTTAGCACACATTAACTTAAGAGCTTGAGCTCAGAGAAGGACTACATGGAATTGTGAGAAATGCATGCTACTATTATGACCCTGAGATTTGCTTCTGTTGAAATTGCCCTTTTACAGGTAGACATTGCAGACTATCCCTTTAAAAATGAATTTTGGAGGCCATAATGGTGGCTCAGCAAACTTTCAAAAGCACTTGATATTCACACAGAGAGCCCCAGTCAAATTCTAACATCCATGTGATAACTCACATCTATATGTAACTCCAATTCCAAGGGATTGAACACCCTCTTCTGACCTCAGAGAACATCAGGCATTCATGTAGTGCACATACCTACATGCATACACAACACTCATATGCATGAAGTAAAATAATTAAATCCAAAAATAAATGAACTTTCATCCAATAACAGTATTGACAATAAATCAGTATGCATTAATAAACCTATGTGCTTTTCTGGTGAGGGGACAGATGCAGGCAAATCTCAGAGAGGGAACCAGAGCAGAGTAGAAAGAGAAGCCGATGGAAAATGAGTCCTAAAATATCCACTCATCCGCGTATAACTGACCTTGCAGAGGGAGAGGTCATTCAAATGAGTCCTGAGCAGTCAGAAGCCAGGTTTTGAATACAGAACTGTAATAATAATAATAAATAATAATCATAGCTAAAACTATAGGTACTCCTTTCATATAAATAACTGAAGAATTAGTACTTTTATTATGGTGGTTATGATAAAATGAAAAATTATCTCTGCAACAAAAGACAAAATATTTCTGTTTTTCCCAGGACATGTAAATATTATAATTATGACTTTGTTGTGTCAGATATATATGGTGAGAGAGGGAGGAAGGAAGAAAAGTAATTGTATATGTACATGTGTGTTCACATGTGTATATGCATTTGTGTGTATGTGTGTGTGGAGGACATCTCAAGTGTCAATTCATAGTGACACAGTCTACCAGTTACTTTTAAAACAAGTTCTCTGATTGTCTTAGAATGTGCCATGAAGACTAGACTGGCTGGACAGTAAGCTCCATGGATCTGACGTTGTCCTTCAGTGTTATACTTATGTGTGTCCCCTTAGAGTTTTAGTTACAAGTGCTTACCACCCAGCTATCGTCTGTGAACCTTTAGGCTCAAACTCAGGTCCCCATGCTTTCCAGGCAAGCACTCTACCTACTGCGCCATGCACACAACCAAGCTTATTGTTCTTTGTCAAAGTATTTTGATGTGGAATTGTTTCTTGTTAATAGTACTTTTATTTATTCTTGAAAATTTTTGTATGTGTATACAATATATTTCAACTATATTTGGCCCTGCAGCCTAACTTCAGCTCTACTGTGGGCCTCCAAGACAACATGGCTCATTCCCAACTTCATGTTCAATTTGTTTGGTTTTAAAGATATGTTTTTATTATTTTTTTTGTGTGTGGGGGTGAGGGGGTATGTGTGTGTGTGTCTGTGTGTGGTCATGGGTATTTTAGAGTAGTTGCCCTCAGAATCCAGAGGCAACAGATCACCGAGGAACTAGAGCTCTGTTTAGGTACTGGCAACAGAGCTCAAGTTCCCTGGAAGAGCAGTGCCTGACAATGTACTCAATGGTTGCTGGGAGAAGGAGAGTCAGGGATAAAGCACATGATAAGTTCTTCAATTCCAGGTTGTCACCCCTGCACATGTAGGAATAACAAAATTACCGAATGAAGTTTGTGTGTGTGTGTGTGTGTGTGTGTGTGTGTGTGTGTATGTGTATAACAATAATAGTTAAATATGAAAATGCCATGAATTTGAGAGAGGAGATTGGTGTAAAAGGAGTTGGTGGGGGAGAAGGCAGAGTGGAAATATTGTAAATACAATTTTCATGAATTAAATTCTCAAATAAACTCTTTTAGATTTTTCCTCATTCTTTTATAGATTGTTCTGAATCATTTATTTGCAGTAACTCTTTTGTCTTTTTTTTTCCTTTTAGAGCCAGGCAAATCTCCTGAAGCCAAACAAACAACTGCAAAAGTCACAGCACAAGGTAGGTAATCAACACTTTAAAAATACTTTTTCCTCTCTTCAGTCCATTGCATTTTATTGACAAAGCAAAAGCTGTTTATTGCAGAAGGTCGCCATCTGCTGGTTGCTCTTCTGCAATAAACAAACTGTTGCATGTTCTTTTTTAAAAAAAATGAAAATAGATTTCTTTTTTATACAGTATATTCTGATTATGGTCCCACCCCCTCAAGTCTTCCAAGACCCTCCTCCACCTCCCCACCCACGCAAATACACACCCTTTCTTACTCTCTTTCCTTAGGAAACAGACATCTAAGAAATAGAAAAAAAAATAAAATAAAACAAGCATACCCAAATGGAACAAAACAAACAAACAGCAAAACACAGTCGACTAAAAGGCACAACCTCCACAAATATAGACATAGAGATATACACATTGGAACACATATAATCCCCTAACAATACAAAATCAGAAACCATAATATATAAGCAGAAGACCTATTTGAAAAAAGTAAAAAAGAAAAAAATGCATAGCCAAAGTATTGTGGGACAAAATTACTTCTAGAGATATCACTGAGTTTATTTTCTGTTGGCCATCTACCGCTGGGAATAGGGCCTGACCCTAAGAGTGATTTGTGTACTCTGTGACTCTGTTAGAGAAAACTAAATTTTTATCTGTGAGTGGTTACACATTGGAGATGGCTTCTTGGTTAGGGATGGGGGCTTGTCTCCAGTTCCTCTCTCATCACTGGGAGCCCATCAGGACCAATCCTGTCTAGGCTCTGTGCATGCTGCCATAGTCTCTGTGACTTCATATGTTCATTGATCTCACCGTGTTTCCTTGGTGTTGGCCTGTTTCCTTGGTGTCCTCTATCTCCCCTGTCTGTCATGTTTTTTACCTCCTCTTCTGCAGAGTTCCCTGGGTTGTGGGGTGGTGGTGGGGTTACTGCACACATCCCATTTATGACTGAGTGTTCCAAGGTCTCTCCTGTTCTGCACATTGTCGAGCTATGGGTCTCTGTATTTATTTCCATCTACTGCAAGAGAAAGCATGTAATGATGGCTGAGCAAGTCACTGATCTATGACTATGGCAAGAGGCTATAAGGGGTCATTTTGTGGACATGTTCTTTAGCAAAACAGTATCATGTAGCTTTTTCCTAGGCCCCTGGTTTGTCTAGTCTCAGATTCTTGGCCACCTAAGTAGTGTCAAGGATGGGTTCTATCTCATGGGTTAACCTTAAATCAGATCAAGTATTGATTGGTTACTCTATCAAGATTTGTGCCATCATTGCACCAGAAAATCTTATATTCAGGTCACAAGTATATGCTGTAGAATATTGTTTTAAGATGTGTTACATTTGTGTATGTTGTGGAACATTTGCTTAATGATGCAAAGATGTGTGGCATTTTTTATGTTGCGTTTGTTTAACTCTGTGAAGCTGTGTTACTGTGCCTGTCTAAAATACCTGATTGATCTAATAAAGAAGTGAATGGCCAATAGTGAGGCAGGAGATAGAAATAAGTGGGGCTGGCAGGCAGAGACAATAAACAGAAGGAGAAAAAGAGAGAACAAAGATAGAGGAGGAAGAGAAGTAGGAGGAGGACATCGGGAGCCAGCCAGCCAGCTACGCAGCAAGCCACGGGGTACGAAAGGTCTTATAAAACAGAGACATATAAAAGCACAGAGGCAAAAGGTAGACAGACTAATTTAAGTTAAGAAAAGCTGGCTAAAAATAAGCCAAGCTAAGGCATGGCGCTCATAAAAAAGAATAAGCCTCCATGTGATTTATTTGGGATCTGGGTGACAAGCTTCCCAAAGAGTAAAGATTAAAAAACAAAAACAAAAACAAAACAAACACGAACAACAACAAAAAAACCCAAATCCAATTGTAGATTGTAGCTAGGTTATTGTTTACCTTTCTACTTTGGTGGCTTGTAGAGTATGTGCTAGTACCATGAACCCTAGGCATAAAGGCAAGGATTTCTTTAGTTATTTGAGCAAGTCTTACTGAGAATGATGGTGAATTCATATACCTGAAGGAATAACAATCAGTGCATTGCCTCCAAGCTTCATTCAAGATGCCTTGATACATATATTTAAAAATAAACTTCAAATAAATACATAAAAATACACAGATTAACTATTACCATGAGAGTTTCTAATAGGCTGGCTATATTGGTTGCATTTTATGATTTGTTTCACATTAGAAGAGTCTTTTGGAATGTTAGAAAATCCATATTATTTTCTAAAAGCTCACATTTCAAATGCTGGCTTCCAGATATACTACAAAAATAATTACCTCAACTTCATGAACCATGCAAGAAAATTAGTTCCTTCTCTCACTGATACCCTTAGGGCTTAAAAAGTAGAAGTTGTGTAGCCTTAAATCAGTAGTAATTTGACAAGACACAAAAGAGAGACACAAGTATTATGCCATTGTCACCTATGAAAAGTTTAGAGAGCAGTTTAAGAAAACAATAGGGAAAATATTCATTGGACAGCATCTCCATTTCCTCTCCTACACTAGATTATGCAATGCTGCAAAGTTTAACAATAAAAGAGATGCATTTAGACAGTGGGATGATTGTTGCCGGGTAGAGGGGCCTCACAGCAAACTCATCAGCATACAGTGTGATATGAAATACTACTGAATGTATTGCATCTGACCAAAATCTTATTTAAGACCAATTTATGCTGGCATGGTTAAGGGCTATGGAGCCACTTTTTAAGTTTTCTTGCTGATTACAAGTTCAATAAAAATTGTTTCTTGTTGGCCGGGCGTGGTGGCGCACGCCTTTAATCCCAGCACTTGGGAGGCAGAGGCAGGCGGATCTTTGTGAGTTCGAGGCCAGCCTGGGCT